GTTTTAGAGCGAATGCGTGCCGCTCTAAGGCGAGAGCCACATTTTGAAAACGACCCGCCTTCAACCCGTGAAGCTCTTGCAACTGTTTTAGAGCGAGTGTGCGCTGCGCTAAGGCGAGAGCCACATTTTGAAAACCACTCGCCCTTAGTCCGTGAAGCTCTTGCATTTTTTAGAACGAATGTGCGCTGCGCTAAGGCGAGAGCCACATTTTGAAACGATCCGCCCTCCATCTGTGAACCTGTTGCACATTTTGTAAACGAATGTTCGCCACGCTAAGGTGAGAGCCGCATTTTGAAAACCACCCGCTCTCCATCTGTGAAGCTGTTACTAAAGAATCTCAGGCGAAGCGCCCGGCCCGCCCTAAAAACTGGCCTCGGGGTGCACCGGGGGGAAGTTACTTATAAGGAAAAGGATTGGAGGAGGCGGAGGAGGAGGAGGCGGAGGACGAGGAAGAGATGGAGGAGGAGGAGGAGGTGGAGGAGGAGGAGGAGGACGGAGGAGGAGGAGAGGAGGAGGAGGAGGAGGAGGAGGAGGCAGGAGGAGGGAGGAGGAGGAGGAGGAGGAGGAGGAGGAGGAGGAGGAGGAGGAGGAGAAGGAGGAGGAGGAGGAGGAAGAGAGGAGGAGGAGGAGGAGGGAGAAGGAGGAGGAGGGAGGAGGAGGAGGAGGAGGAGGAGGAGGAGGAGGAGGAGGAGGAGGGGGAGGGGGAGGAGGAGTCGGAGGAGGAGGAGTAGAGGAGGAGGAGGAGGAGGAGGAGGAGGAGGAGGAGGAGGAGGGAGGAGGAGGAGGAGGAGGGGAGGAGGAGGAGGAGGAGTGGGAGGAGGAGGAGGAGGGGAGGAGGAGGAGGAGGAGGAGGAGGAGGGAGGAGGAGGAGGAGAGGAGGAGGAGGAGGAGGAGGAGGAGGAGGAGGAGGAGAAGGAGGAGGAGGAGGAGGAGGAGGAGGAGGAGGAGGAGGAGGAGGAGGAGGAGGAAGAGGCAATGGCTGCAGTGCTGGCACGCCCCGGTGAGGTGGCGGAGCAAGGGGAGGCTTCAGCGCGGAGTGGCGCGAGCCTTCGAGAGGCCAGCGAGCTGGCGCGGAGCCAGTCGGCGGCGGCAGAGGACGACTGGTCCAAGGATGCCGAGAAGGATGCGAGTGGCGCCCGGGTGAGGTGGCAGCGAGGGCGGAGGCAGCATCGCGTAGCCTTTGCGCGAGGTCGCCCATGCCCCGTGAGCGCCAGGTGAGGAAGCTGAGCAGTACGAGGGGCAAGCTTCTTCTCTCCCGCGGGGGGGGGGCTCGGGAGGGTGCCCGAGCCTGGACGGGTGGGCCTGAGGGCGCCGGCAAGGGCGGCGGCGGCGGCCCGATCGAGGCGGGTGGAGGTCGCAAAGGGGGCAGAGAGGCAAGGGCGACCGCCAGTCTAGCCCCCTGGCGCCCAGCCGGAAACGCTGGCGTCGCTGGAGCGGCCGCGTCGTGTGTGTGTGTTGTGGGTGTCGTGGCGTCATTGTGGGGCCGCTGGGTAAACGCCCACCGCCGACCAGACAGATTTGCTTCGGCGGTCATGGGCCCTTGCTTACTTAGCTCTGTGCAGCTACGGGCTTTCATCAATGCCCATCATTTGCGTGCGGAATATTGGGGGTTTAGCGCCAAGTCCATGATTCGGGCGGCCTTTCGCTGGCGACGGGGGAGTCATGACAGAGATCGGTCCCCTCATCGCACCGGCTGGTTCAATGCCGAGCGCGACCGTCGCTGGTAGCCCTGCAGGCTCAAGCGCAGCGAGGTGCGGAGCATGCACTCTTTACGATGGTTCTCCTTGTCCTCCAAGACTCGAAGGCAGACGGTCACTATGGATGGCTTTGCGACCGTGTGTGCTCTGTGGCTCGGAGACCTTCAAAGGCTGTGCGGGCGTAGTCCTAGGAGACTGCCAACCTCCCGCACCGCCCATATTTCCAGGGAGATACGCATCTGCTATGCTGTGGAGCTCATCCCATCCGAACAGTGGCCGCCAATGCAGAGGACGCTAGTTCGTGGGACTTGCTTCCGTGGTATAATCACATGCTTTGCATGCAGGGGTCTTCGTTGCGCCTGTCTCCCCATTTGCGCCAATTCTCTCGTGGCGTCTCGTAGCATGTTAGCGCGCATCAGGTGAATTCAGCTCATTAAGAAGCTACTCGCAGGACTTGAAAGCCACGTGTGGTCTATGGCCTGGCCGCGACGGCAGGATACAAAAGCTGCCAGGCTATCGGGAGGATGCCTAGCGAGGTGCGGGTTCCTGGGCAGCGCGCGCCGTTGTGCGTCATGTGCAACACGAAGGAGGGCGAATGCCATTTCTGCCGTGGCCCATGCCACTTTCGCCCGTATCCCCCACTCGTATTTCGGCTGGCCAACTCCTCCCAGAGGAGGGGGAGCGTTGCCGACAGGACGTGCGAGGGCGTCATCGCATTGCGATCGGCGGCGTGAGCTGGTCCGAGGCTGTGCCGTGCCTCCGCCCGTGCTCAACAAACCAAAGATTTGAGAGCTCCTCGTGCCCGTGCTTTGTGCCGTGCTGCCGGCGGGCGTGTGCCCCTCGCCCCGCTCTGTCTTGTCTCCTCCCTTCCGCTCTCTTCCCTGCGCGCCGCTGCATGTCCCTTGCCGGGGCCCTTTTTGCGACGTTGCGACATCGCCGTTCGCCGCTCTGCCCTTGCGCCCACTCCGCGCGGTGACCTCCGGTGAAGTGCATTTTTCTTCGCGCCCTGCAGTTGCCTCGTGGCCTGCTCCGCGGCGCTGTTGGCGTGGCGTGCCGTATCTGTGTCTCGTTGCCTTAGACGGCGAGGACCTTTTGGCCGCCCTGCTGGCTTGTGCCTGGGGAAGTCCTCTAGGTGCTCGGCCGCGTCTTGCCTTGCCTACGCCACGCATTTTTTTGCCCTAGCTGCTGGCTTCTTGCGCCCCACTCGTGTGTTGTAGCTATTTTTTTCAGTGTGCACTCTGGGCCCGGCGTCGGCCTTGCTGCCTCGCTGCCTCGACATGGGGTGTGGGCCAGCTTGGCTGCGGCCCGAATCTCTTTTTGCGTGCTGCCCGGGGTTCGCCTTGGGGTGCCCGCTTCAGCCTCTTGCCGCGCCATGCTGCCTTTCTTTCGGCCAACTCCTATACTTTCCACTTCAGGCGGGAGGGCTTGCAGCCGCCCGGCTGGATTGTACATCCGGGGAACCTCGTGGTCCTCGGTCGGGTGTTGCCATGCACCTTCACGGACATTGGTTTTTCTGCGCCCCCCTGGGTGCGCGCTGCCACTTCCACGTGGCACCGTTCGTAGTCGGCGCCTTTCTCCGTCTGTCAGCCTGACAGGCGGCGGTCTTACCGCCTTGCTGCTGGCGCCCTGACATTGGGTGCCAGCCGGCATGGCCGCGGCCATTTTTATTTTTGCCTCTTGGCGTCTCGCCTTGGTGTGCGCGTCTGCACCTGGGTTGCAGTTCGCTGTTCCTGGTTGCCTTTCAGCTGTGCGTCGGCTTGCCCTGCCAGCAGCCTTCCTCCGCGGTGGTTCGTCGGTCCCCTTCCCCTGTTTGGTTGCGGGGGTCGCTCGCCTCGCCGTCGTCAGTCTGTCGCCGGTTGGCCGTGTCGTAGGATCTTCCGCCGTCGTCTCTCAGGGCTCCTCTCTTGCTTCTGCTTTTGCTGTGTTCCCCCCGCTCTCTTCTCTTCCGGTTCGTCTTCGCTGCGCGGGTCTGTCTCCTGCTGTCTGAGCTCTGGCGTATCCCGTTGGCGGGTTTAATGTGCCAGTCTTCGCTCTCTCTTTTTCTCTCTGTCGCCATTTGGCCAGAGTGGTGCGACATTTGCGGTGGTGCGTGCAGCTTCTCTTGTGCCTACGTGGTTGCCTCATCTATCTTGGTCTTGCTTTCACCTGCCTCGCCAGTAGCCTTTCGCGGCTTTGGGTTTCGGTTGGGGTTGCCGTGTTAACGCTGGCGTTTGCATTGCACTTTGGCCATGCTCGCGCTTGTCCACCGCCCATGTGCGCCGCCACGTGTCGTGGCTGCTACTCGCGGTCGCCCGCGTTCAGCCTTGAATTTGTTGTCCAAGGCTGAGCTAGCCTCGGTTGTTGCGTGATCATCTTGATGACGCCGACCTTCCGCACCCCGTTGCACTGTCGCTCAATCTGTTACTTGCTCGCTGCAAGGTCGGTGGTGTAGATTTGTCGCGCAGTTCCCCTGCGTGTATGCACCGCCGCCAAATTGGCTGGCCTGGCAGCCCTGCAATTTCATTTTCGTTGCCTCGTTGAGGCGGTAGTTAGCGCCAGACTGTTGTTTTCCGCGTCGAGCTTGCGTTCCTTTGGTTTTTATCTGGGCCGCTGCACTCTGACATTGCAGCGCCTCGCGTTTTCTTCCGCCGCTGGCCGTGTCTGTTTTTTTCGTCGTGACGCGTTCGACTAATTTCGTTCGCAAGTGGCGCCTCCACCTGCCGACCGCACTTGAGGTTTCTCTGCGCCGCCGACTTGAAGTGTGCGTGTGTGTGTGTGTGTGTGTGTGTGTGTGTGTGTGTGTGTGTGTGTGTGTGTGTGTGTGTGTGTGTGTGTGTGTGTGTGTGTGTGTGTGTATGTGTGTGTGTGTGTGTGTTTGTGTGTGTGTGTGTGTGTGGCCTATGGCCTTTCGCCCGCTGCGCCGTCGCGGCCGCGGGGTCGAGTGGGCAGCCGCGCGCCCGCGGGGGTCGTCCTTTGGGTGGCGAGGGGCGGCCTCGCTTTCTTCGGCGGCCTCCTCGCGCCCGCCCGCGCCCGTTCAGCCGTGGCTCTGGGCCCGCTTCGCGCGCTGCGCTTCGCGCGCGGCTCGGGGGGGATCTCGCCCTCGCCGCCGCGCGCTCGTGCCGCCTCGATGTGTTGCCAGTCCGAAGGCGCGGTCCTTCTTCGCCCGCGGACCAGGCTCCGCGTCTCGCAGGCTGCGCGCTCGCCGCTCCCGCCGCGGCCCGGAGGTCAGCGGGCGATCCAGGCCCGGCGGGCGAGCGTCATCCTGCCGCGCCGCGAGGGCGCTGAGCTCAGCGGCCCACCCGCGGCTGTGTGCCGTTGGTGGCCTGAGCGGCGCTCGCTATTAGCTGTTTTTCGCGTGACTGCTCGGCTCGCTGGGGCCCGCGGCAGCGCGCGTCTCTGGCCCGAGTAAGTGCGGGCTGCGGCGGGGTGGCTTTCTTGGCAGCGGGCGCGCGTCGCCCCAGCCTGCAGCCCAGTGCAGGCAGTCCTCTGCTTGTTTTAGCGCGTCGGGCCCGCTTCTCCTAGGTGCTGGAGGCGCGCCCGCTCAGGCTCTCCCGGCGCCCAGTCGGGGCGTGGGGTGGCGAGCGGGGAGATGAGGGCCTAGAGGGGATGCGTGATCGTGTCCCTTTCCTCGCCGCTCCCGGGAGGTGGGCCGCTGCTTCTTGTCTGGCGCCGTCCGCGTTTGGCTGCCGCGCCGCTCCATTGCGGGCGGCAGGCTTAGCCGCTTTTCAGCTCGCTAGGCCCGCTTCTCAAAAAAGGCGGGCGCGACCCCGTCGTCGCCTGGCGGAGTCGGGTGCGGGGGGGGGGGGGGGGGCGAATTGGGAGGGGTGGGGGCCCTCTCCGGGGTGGCGGGGGCGCTCCCCGCCCTCCGCCCCCCTCCGCCAAGGCGTGTGCTGTTGCTTTTGCATGGCCATCGGCGGTGCGCGTTTGGGGGCAGGGTTCTGCGCGCCCGCCTCCTGGTCCCTTCGTCGCCCGCTCGGGCTGGCGCCCGGCCCAGTGCCTGGCCCGTGCCTGGGCTCGCGCCTGCCGCGCGCTATTCCGTCCGCCTTGCGCGCCTGGCTCCTCCTGGCTCGCGGCTGAGTGGCGCCGTTTTGGCGGGCCCGGACGGGCGTGCAGCGGCTCCGCCGCCCGCGGCCGCGCTGCGTGGCCAGTCTAGTGGGCGCTCCCGCCTGCGCCGCCGGCGGGCTGTCTTTTTAGCGCGCAGGCGTCGCCGCTGCTTCGCGCCCTGCCCGCCCGCGTAGCTCGCTCTCGCCCGTGGGCTGGGCTCGCGCCCTCGCGGCGGTTCTTCTTCTTAGATCCTCGGCCGACCCTGTGCGGGGCACGGCAGCTCGCTCAGCCGTTCTTTCCTCGACTGCCCGACATTGCGGCCTTCTCTTGCGCGTCGGCCGACAGCGCGCGGGGCGCAGCGGTCCTGCAGCTGTCCTTGCTAGGCTGGCTACCCAGATGGTCACCGCGTTGTCGCGTTCAGTCGTGGGCTCCCGCGGGCTCGGGCGTGCGCTGGTGTCGCCCAGAGTGCTTTCCCGCGTTAGGGGGCCCGAGTGGCGGTTCGCCGCTGCTCTCTCCGGCTTGACTTGCCCTCCGCCGCGCCGCAGTGCGCGTGGCCGCGACGCCGAAAAATCGTGTGTGTGTGTGTGTGTGTTTGTGTGTGTGTGTGTGTGTGTGTGCCCGCTGCTCCGCCCCCCCCAGTGTCCCCGCTCTCGGGGTCCCCGGGCCGCTCGTTAGTCGGCGCCTCGTAGGCCCCATGGATTTCGACGTCTTTGCTCGCACTCGTTCCATTGCTGGGCGCTTTCCCAGCTACCCAATGGCCCCTCCCCTGAGGTGGTCTTCTCTGACTGCACTTTCGCCTGGATCGATGGTCGGTCCGACCTCGGCGCGCGGCCGCGTTGCTGCGCTGCCCGCCCCCAGCACAGGCTGGGCCTGTTCCCGCCGCCCGGCGCTGCCGCCCCTGGCTGCTGCGCCCCCCCCAGCTGCCCTGCGGCCGCCGCCCCGCTGCCCCAGCGCTGCCCCTTCCGCGGCCTAGCCCCGCTCTGTGTGGGCCCGGCCTCCCTTCCGTCCTGCCCGTGCCGGGGTTCTTCTTCCTCCTTCTCCTCCTCCTCCTCCTCCTCCTCCTCCTCCTCCTCCTCCTCCTCCTCCTCCTCCTCCCCCTCCTATTTTTGCAATGCTGCTTAATTCGCATCTCTTTGCCCTATGCCAGGGGTCATTCCGATTCCGCCGGTTCGAATCGAATCGATTTCCGCGATTCCGATTTCGAACCGACTCGATTCCGGGATTCCGATTCGCGATTCCGATTTCGAGTTCGCCCGATCCGGCTTCTGCCGATTCGATGCGTCATCCGGCTTTTGCCGGCTTTTGCCGATCCGGCTTCGCTCCGGCTCTGGCCCCCAAGGGGGGGTCCAAACCCCCCCCAGGGGGGGTTTCCCAAAAACCCAACCAAACCCCCCCCAGGGGGGGTTCCCCAAAAAAACCGGAAACCCCCCCCAGGGGGGGTTTCCAAAAACCCCCAAACCCCCCCAGGGGGGGTTTCCAAAACCCCCACCCCCAGGGGGGGTTTCAAAAAACCAAACCTCCGTTCCAAAAACCCAACCCCCCCCAGGGGGGGGTTCCAAAAACACCCCCCCCCCAGGGGGGGTTTCAAAAAACCAAACCCCCCCCAAGGGGGGGTTTCCAAACCCCCCCCAGGGGGGGTTTCCAAAAAACCCCCCCCAGGGGGGTTTCAAAAAACCCAAACCCCCCCCAGGGGGGGTTTCCAAAAACCCAAACCCCCCCCAGGGGGGGTTTCCAAAAAAAACCCGGAACCTCAAAACCCCCCCAGGGGGGGGGTTCCAAAAAACCCCCCCCCAGGGGGGGGTTCAAAAAAAACCCGGAACCTCAACCCCCCCCCAGGGGGGGTTTCCAAAAACCCAACCCCCCCCCAGGGAGGGTTTCAAAAAACCCAAACCCCCCCCAGGGGGGGTTTCAAAAAACCCAAACCCCCCCCAGGGGGGGGTTCCGATTTCGATTCCGATCCGGCTTGATGCGGTCCAGTTTCCGACTCGATCCGGCTTGGCCGTGCCGACTTCAGCCGATTTCGATTTGGCTGCCGGCTTTTGCCGACTTCTGCCGATTCGATGCTCCGGTCGACCCGATCCGGCTTATCGATTCGATGCTGGGGCCGCCTGCTATGCATGCCCTATCCGCCAGCGCAGACACTCTGCCTAGCCGTCGACGGAAAAGTGTGTGTGTGTGTGGATGTTTTTTGATGTGTGGGACTGGGTGCGGAGTTCCATAAGTGTGGAGCCCAACGTGTGTGGAGTGTTTGTTGTGTGGAACCCTTTGTGTTTTTGGACCCCTGGTTGCGCATGTGGAACTTTGGGGAGCCACTGGGAAGCCAGAGGGGTCCCACGGAACAGGAAATCAAATGATTCCGTGCCATAGGAGGCCTTAGGAGGCCAAACGGACATTGTAGAACCATTGTGCCACGCAGACACGGTGAGGCAGGAAACCATGAGGAAACCGCAGGGGGTCAAACCATATGAAGCCAAACCATATGAAACTATCTGAAGCCAATCGGCTACAACGCAATGGTACGTGCACACACTGAATGTGGAACGAGGGAGGGACCATCACGCGGATTCGTTCCGAACGACGCATATGTCCGATGTGTTCATGTGTGTTTTCTTCTCCTCCGCATAGAATGCTCCATATCAGCCGAGCAGCGCGGTTTGCCATTCTGCGCCTGACTGCCAGCGTGGTGCATGGCGAGGCTTCCGTGTTTGTCTTAAACGCGGCAGTGGGCAAGGGGAGGCGGCAAAGGACGCGTGCTGTGCTTCTCCAAAAGGCAGCTCGCGGACCTGGACGGCCTCGAACTTCCATTCGAGGAGCGGCAGCGCCTTTAAGTTGTTTCCCATGTCGTGTTTGACGTGAGCTGAGCATCGCCTTCCATATACGATCGGAGGCGTGTGTGGATAACAGGATGGCCAGTTGACATCGGGCAGCGTGTGAGCACGCGCACTTGCAATGATGTGATGCCTAGGGTCTTGTTTCTGGTGGAGTTCCTCGGCACAAGTGTTTTGGCGTGGCATTTCTCAGGAGTGTGAACTTTCTAGGGTATGGGAGTTGCAAAGCATTTCCGCAAGCTGGCAAACCGTGTGCTTGCATTCGGCGCCACATGTCAAGAGCAGGTTGTTTGCAACACGGCCCCGTTGTGTATAGTTTGGGTCTGTAGACGTTTTCGAGCTTCGCGCCCCCATGTCGAGCGCCCATAAGCTGCTCCTGGCGCCCGTGCCCCCCTTCCCCGTCGCTCTTGGTCACAGCGTTTCCGCATTCTGTCTGGAGGGAAGCTTCGGGGCAGGCTGCTGCGCCCCGATAGGCCCTTGGTACCGCACCTGTGGCGCGAGAACATGGGAAATGCCCCGGGCGTGCAGGGCATGTTGTCATGCTTGGAGTGTTCCTTGGACGCAAGCGATCCGCTTTGATTCGAGGGACTTTTCGGGTCGGAGCAGAAGAAGGCCGCCGAGCTGCCGCACAAGCAGCCCGACATTGACAGGAGATCGCTCCGTTGACTTTTCTGCGCGCGGACTGTTATGACAACGTTTGCAGCACCGAAACTTTCGATGGAAGTGGGCTCCCATTTTTCCTCCCGTCCTCCCGTGTCTTCCTTCTGCTGTCAGCGTTCTTTCATGATGGTGTCGGGCTTTTGGACCGCCCCCCGCATGCCATGACTTCGGTGCTGGCGGTGCAAATGCTGAGTTCGCATCCCACAGGAGGTGGAGCTGCAAGCGGTTCCGCTACCACTTGTCTCCTTTCTCGCATGCGTTGATCCGCGCGCTGCAGTGTCGAGGACTGACCTGTAGACTACCATCCAAGAGAAATTAGATTCGCATGCAAGGGTGAGGATTTCGGCGCGCACGGCCCAGCGCAACACCTGAGACACGACACGGCGGACGCAGCGCGGCGCGGCGCAGCAGTGCGTCTTAGAGGCATGGCGTGCCCGCTACTCGGCAACGAGGACGCGACGCAGCACGGTAGAACACAGCTTCTGAGGGGACTTGTTTGCTGGCAGCAGCATGGCACAGTACACGAGCTCTTTTCTCAGGACAAGGTTTTTCCGGTACGGGCTCAGGCCCAGGGTTCTATCTTAGGTGTCGGGCCTTCAGCTTTAGACCAGAGGGGTGGATAGCAGGGGGCTTTGGACTCTTCACGCGTTCAAATCCGTGCTCGGAGGGGGTATCGAACATGCGTTCAGCGCGTGGACATTTGGCACGTGCGCTCGCGTGTGTAGGCGCCAATGTGGATATCGAACATGGCTTTCGCACGTGACTTGAAGTGCAATCTGCTTTCCCCGGGGACGCATGTGATTAGCTCTTACATGCCCCTGGCACGTCTCTTTCTCAGTAAGGGCCCAGGCCCAGTGTTCATTTATTGGTGTCGTGACTTTGGCTCTAGACTGAAGGGTGTAATGGAGGAGGCGTCGGACCCTTTACGAGTAAATGTACGGCTCGCAGAGGGTATCACAAATGTGTTCGGAGGGTGCACATTTGCCACGTGTGCTCCTGTGTTTACGCGCCAACGGGGGCATCGAACCATCGTCTCGCCTCTGATCTGGTGGGCGGCATGCAGGCCAGGGGGTGCATCCAACATGCGTGTGGCTCGTGTCTTGACGTATGCGCTGCTTTCACGTGCAGTTGGCGCGCACCTTTCTCTGCGAGGGCATTGGTCCAGGGCTCTCTTCCAGGTGCCGGGCCCTGTGGCCCTCCCCCTCACGGGGGTGCAAAGCGGGGGGCGTCGGCCTCGTCGGCCTCTCTGCGCGCAACTGGCACGAGGCGGAAGCGAACGTGCGTTTGGTGCGGTTGAGTTGGCGCGTGTGCTCGCGTGTGCAGGGGAGATGTGGGATACGCGCCTGGTGCGTGACTTGATGATGCGCAATCTTCAGGCCGGGCGGGATGCAACCAACATGCGTGTGGCACCCTTTTTGAAGCGTGCGATGGTCTCACATGCATTCTGCACGTCCTTTTCTCGGTGAGGGCTCCTGCCAAGGGTTCTCTTTTAGTTGTCGGGGCTTTGGCCTCATACCGGAGGGGCTTACAGGGTTTGCCGGATTCACCACACCGCGTGCGCATTTGGAACGTGTGTTCGCGTGCGTCGGCGCCAAGGGGCGTTTCGAACATGCGTTTGGCACGTGACTTGAAGGACAATCTGCACTCCAGGGGGCGTATCCAACATGCGTGTTACACTTGTTTTGACTCATGTGCTGCTCTCAGATCCACCTGGCACGTCTTTTCTCGATAAGGCCTCCTGCCCAGTGTCCTCTTTCAGTTGTCGTGCTTTTTGCCTTGGTCTGGAAGGGCGTAATGCAGGGTGCGTCGGACTCTTCACACGCACCAGTAGTACATGCTCGGGCGAGCATCGAAGCCGCGTTCGGCCTGGTCAATTGGCGCCAGGGCAGGTGTCGAGAATGCGTGTAGCATGTGATTTGCCATGCAATCTGCAAGCCAGAGGGGTGTGACGGACGATGGTGGTAATGATGGTGTGGTGACGATGATGAGGCGGAGGTGGAAGGAGTTGGAATGAGGTGGAATGATTTGCAAGGACGAATGCGACATCAGCCTTTGACATAGAGCTCCGAAGTTCGGATAAGGCAGTTGACATGTTCTGTCAATCTGTCAAGTGCTGTGTGATTCACCTTTTGCAACCTGGTCAACGACGCTCCCTGGAAACAAAGGGTGGGTGGTAATAAGAATATCAGAGCAAATCATGATGTTGATGATGATGACTTCGACGATGACAATGATGATGATGGTGGTGGTGGTGCTAATGATGATGAGGATGATGATGATGATGATGATGATGCTGATGATGATGATGATGATAACGAGGATGGTGATGATGATGCTGATTACGATGATGATGATGCTGCTGATTGTTGCATGTGGTGATGATGCGGATGATGATGATTCTGCTGATGCTGATGTTGTTGATGATGATGATGCTGATTCTGATGACGATGATGATGATGATGATGTTGTTGTTGTTGTTGATGCTGATGCTGTTGCTGCTGCTGATGATGATGATGATGATGATGATGATGATGCTAATGATGGTGATATTGATGTTGATGGTAGTGGTGGTGGTGATGATGATAATGATGATTATGAAGCGGATGCTGATGCTGCTGATGCTGATGCTGATGATGATGATGATGAGGATGAGGATGAGGATGAGGATGATGATGCTGCTGTGGCTGCTGATGATGATGATGATGTTGATGCTGATGATGATGATGATGATGATGGTGATGATGATGATGCTGCTGCTGCTGATGATGATGATGATGATGATGATGATGATGATGAGGCTTCGACGTTCTACCTGACAGTGCCCGCATCGCATACGTTGCATGGGGTAAGCTAGAGGAGTGAGAAAGAGGGAGGGTAGGGGCGAGTGAGGAGGAGGAGGAGGAGGAGGAGGAGGAGGAGGAGGAGGAGGAGGAGGAGGAGGAGGAGGAGGAGGAGGAGTAGGAGGAGGAGGAGGAGGAGGAGGAGGAGGAGGAGGGGGAGGAGGAGGCGAGACGAGGCCCCTCTCTGAGCCCAGGAACACACGGCTGCTGGCGCTGCCCCGGCAGGAGGGCGGCCGGGCCGATGACGAGGGTCATGGCGGCTGGGCCTCCAGTGGCCTGGGGCCCGTCGGCGGTGCCCCGGCGCCGCCAGTCGCCGAGGCGGCCACCGCGCGCTCGTCGTTGTCGTCGTCGTCGTCGTCGCCGCCGCCGCCGCCGCCGTCGCCGCCGCCGTCGTCGTCGTCGCCGCCGCCGCCGCCGCCGCCACTGTCGTCGTCGTCGTCGTCGTCGTCGTTGTCGTCGTCCTCTCTCCCCCATCCGTCCCCTCCTCCCTCTCCAGTCCGTCTCTGCCCTGCGGGCCGCAGGCTCCAGGCGCTCGGCCACCGCGCGCGGGGATCGAGGGTCGAACATCTTCGGGCGGCTTGAGCTTATTTCGTATTTTCGGTCTCCATAAAAGGGACTCGTTTTTTTTGTCTTCCTGCACTCCGACCACAGTTGCGAAACCGTCGGGAGCGGTGCCACGAGCGTAATCGAAATTATCCCAGTGCGACCCTACCTAGGAGTTGGAGCATTTAGGAAAGCAACATCTACATCTACACCGACAGCTACATTTACATCTACACCTGCATCTACATCTACATCAACATCCGCAGCGAGACTCACATCTACATCTACATCTACAACTACATCTACATCTACATCTACACCTACATCCACATCTACACCTACACCTACATCTGCATCTACATCTACACCTACATCCACATCTACACCATGCTACGCTACATCTACATCTACCACATTTATGCTATGCTGTGCTAATGCTGCGCTGCGCTATGCTGCGCTGTGCTAAGCTACGCTAAGCTAAGCTAAACTACGCTACGCTACGCTAAGCTAAGCTAAGCTAAGCTAGGCTAGGTTAGGCTAAGCTAAGCTAAGCCAAGCTAAGCTAAGCTAAGCTAAGCTAAGCGAAACTAAGCTAAGCTAAGCTAAGCTAAGCTTAGCTTAGCTAAGCTAAACTGGGTGAACCCAGGGGGCGCAACTGGGGGAACCGCGGGGCGGATACTGGGGGAACCGCCCGGGGCGCTTTCCACTGCCCGGCCCCTTTAAGCCCAGAGAGTAAGAACCCTTCTAGGCAGAGCCTAGGTAGGGAACAAAGTGAGCCCGTAAGCAATCCGACCGCTGGACCGTTTCGCCCGCTCTTCCCGAGTACATCGAAGATGCGGACGAGGAGGGAGAGATGGTGGGGAGGGAGCAGACAACAAAAATTCAAGGGCCTCGCTTTCGAGAAAGGGCGTTTCAGAAAGGACCTCGCCTTCGAGGGGTCGATTCGGTTGCCTTGTCTTCCTCGGCGGAGGGCTGCGGAGAGTCGGCGGATCGCGGTGGGAGTAGGTCGGTGGGCGGCTCCGCCAGGGGGGAAGCCCGCGGAAGCAAAAGTTGCTCCCCTGCAAACGATATTCAGCGGTTTTGCGTTCGGGTGGTTTGATGTTTGACTTCTGTTGTTTTCTGGCATGTGTGCCTCCAGGGTTCGTTGTAGAGCCCCAGGGCCATGTCACCCTTACTCCAGAGCGAGACACTACCCTGGGGAAGTGGTCGTGAGATTTGGGGCCGTGGGTCCATGAAAAATCCATCACATGTCAGGGTTCGAGGTTCGAGGATTCATGTCTGAGGGTCGAGATTTTGAGGTTCGAGTCTTTTTTTCCGCTGCTTTTGGACTTCTGAGACGCTTCTCGTCAAAATGGCTGGATCCTTTTCGAAATTCTAGCCAGAACGCATCCCTGGATAGGTTCAGGGATATTTGTCCCTCAGAATCCGGAGGAGGCGCCCATGCATCTTGCGGCTCGACGAGCTAGAGCCGAATGCTCTTGTCAAGTTTCAGGACGGCAGGGACCACTTTCGGGCCTTAGCCCTGTCAAAAATGGCTAAGGATGAAACCAGCCCCGGGGAGGAAGAGGTCGAGATGTTTGCGGCCCCATTTCTCGAACAAGCCGAGCCGCCCGATGTCTGGGGATCGGATCGAGGTTCGATGGGATCGAGGATTTCAGTGTTTCGGGGCTGTCTGGGCCTCCCAGACCGCCTTCGTGGCCACGATGGGATCCGCTTCGAGATCCTAGCATGCTTCTCCTCCTGCTTCTGGTCCTCGTTGTCCTTCTCCTCCTCCACCCTCCTCTTCTCCGTTCTCCTCCTTTTCCTCATCCGTCTCCTGTTTCTCTTGCCCTTCGCCCACTCTTCCTCCTCCTGCTCCTGCCCATGCTCATGATCCTGGTCCTCTCTCTTTTCCTTGCGCTCCTTGTCTTCCATTGATGGTCTGGCGGCTGGTGTTAACCCTTCTTTGCCGCTCCTGCCATCCTGTCAGTCCTGGTCGTAAGCTGCTAGTGAGCAATCTGCTTTCGGCAGCGTCGGCCCATTGCAGGCCTACTCAGGTGGCTTACCTCTATTCTGGAGCTTGTGGGGAAGCATGACAGGAAGTCTTCTCCAAGCGGCTGCTGCTTCTCCTGTGCTCCGCTTGATGTTCCTGATCCTCCTCCCGATCATCCTTCTCCTGCTGCGGCCTCTCCTCCTCATCCATCCCTTGCTCCTGCTTTTGCCCCTCCTGCTTCTGCTCTTTCTTACCACTGATGCTCCTCCGCGTTTGCTGCTCTCGTCTGCTGCAGCTTCTGCTCCCGCCTCCACTTCTGCTGCCGCCTCTGCTGTTGCAGCCAGAGGCACTAGACCGTGAATTGGACGCCTACTTTGGAAAGGTAGAGGCGGAGGAGAATGGCCAGAGCAAGAAGGCCTTCGCCGAGCTTGCCCCAGGACTGCGCGGTTCTCGAGCGTGTCGGCAAGGGGGGGGTGTTGCCAGACATCCTGCGGCTCAACTTGTTCGAAACGTGCCCCTCCTTTTCAAGAGTTGATTGCTCGTCCTGGATCGTTCGCTAGCGGTCCTGGGGCCCGAAGCCGCTGCGCGATTGATCGGCAACGCGAAAGAGCCTGACTTCCCGTGCTGTTGTCACGGCAGGCGAGAAGTGAGCCGGCGGACAACGAGCAGAGCCTGCCCCGCGTCGGTTCAGTCGGGACTCGCATTATGACTCCAATCGTGCCAGGGGGGTGCATAAGATGGATCGGCGTGCGCGAATGTCGCCCTCTCGCGACTCCGGTGTCAAACGTTGAGGAGGAGGCGGAGGAGGAGGAGGGGAAGGAGGATGAGGATGAGGAGGATGATAACTGAGGAGGAGGGGGAGGAGAAGCAGGAGGAGGAGGAGAAGGAGGAGGAGGGTGAGGAGGGTGAGGAGGGTGAGGAGGGTGAGGAGGAGGAGGAGGAGGATGAGGAGGAGGAGGAGGAGGAGGAGGAGGAGGAGGAGAGCCCTGACCCTGCCTGAAAGGCGTCCTGCATCCAATTCTGTTCGAGCGGGCACCTGGGACACCTTTCCCTGTCTTAGGGTGGTGCCTCACCGACAGAATTGCACCACGATTCGTGGGTGCGCTGGCGATCGGGGCAGGCGGGCACGGATCTCAGCCAAGCCCCGAGCCGTTTCTCTCGGGCACAGAGCCCGAGCAGCGCAAGCGGTACAGCAGCGTGCTCACCGCGGGCTGGTCAGCCCTCCCGGCCCCAGTCGGTCGGGCAGGCGGGCGCCGCGATGGACGAGTGGCCGCCTACCCCGCCACGGCGGGACGCCCGATGATGTGGTGCAATCTATGCTGTGAGCGATCGAAAGGAGCGCCGCAGCCGCGATTTCTGTCGTGGAATATTTCTCGTGCAATCTGACGGCGGCGACCAGTGGCGACGAGGCGGCGACGAGGCGGCAACAGGGTGACGACGGCGGGAACATAGCCGCCAGACCGCCTACACGGCCCAGACGACGGGCGGCGACGAGGCGGGGTCGGGGCGGCGACGGCGGCAACATAGCCGCCAGACCGCCTACACGGCCCAGACGACGGGCGGCGACGAGGCGGGGACGGGGCGGCGACGGCGGGAACATGAGCCGCCAGACCGCCCACACGGCCAGCTCCTCAGACCAGAAGTAAGAACCCCTCAGAGCAAGCACTGTTTTGGGAAAAAGAAAGCATAAAGCGAAGGAGTGGCTCCGGTTTTTGGTGCCGTTCCATAGATCTGGGTCGCGGAACCCCTTCGTGTCTGAGACTCGCCGTGGCCAGACAAGCCTTCTCGTTCCTTCTGTGGCTGCACATAATACATACAGGTTGTTGGTGTTTAAGATAATAGTTTCAGCACGGATGCCGCCCAATCAGTGACAATTTCTCGACCATTGCGCAGTTCAGCCCACGTGAGTACAACCAGCATGCAACAATCAGCAGCATCATCCCCTGCGGGTTCATCCACCCAGGTTCACATGTGAGATGAACGTGGAACACGGCCGCCTAGCACCTAAGCGTGCACGAAGCGCGCACATGGTGCTAATATATTTGTCCTCTCTCTATACAGAACACATGTGTATATAATACTGATGATGACGATGAAGACGGCGATGCTGATGGTAATGATGGTCATGCTGCTGATGATGATGGTGGTGGTGGTGATCATGCTTCCGCTGATGGTGATTATGATGATGATGGTGGTGATGATGCTGTTGCTGATGATTATGATGATGATGGCGACGACGGTAATGATGTTGTTCATGATGATAATGATGGTGGTGGTGGTGATGATGATGTTGCTGCTGCTGATGCTGATGATAGTGATGCTGCTGATGATGACGATTATGATGATGATGATGATGATGATGATGATGATGATGATGATCACGTTGGTGGTTGTCATGGTGATGGTGATGCTGCTGCTGCTGCATATAACGATGATGTCCATTCTGATTATGATGATGATGATAATGATAAGGATGCTGCTGCTGATGATGATGGTGATGATGATGATAATGAGTGGTGATGAAGGTGGTGGTGATGATGATGCTGCTGATGATGCTGCTGCTGATGATGCTGTTGCTGATGATGATGATGATGATGATGGTGGTGGTGGTGGTGCTGATGATGATGTTGATGCTGCTGGTGATGATGATAACGATGCGCATAATGATGATGCTGACGGTGGTGGTTTTGCTGATTATGATGCTGCTACTGCTGATGATGGTGGGGTGCCGGTGGTGATGGTGATGATGATGCTGCTGATGATGATGATTCTGATGATGGTGCTCATGATGAGGATGATGATAGCGATGCTGCTGATGAGGATGGTGTTTGTTATAGTGGTGGTGGTGGTTATGACGATGATGCTGCTGATGATGATTCTGATGATGATGCCGATGATGATAATGATGGTGGTGACGGTGGTGATGATGATGATGATGATGATGATGATGTCGATGCTGCTGCTGCTGCTGATGCTGATGATGATGATGGTGGTGGTCGTGGTGGTGGTGATGATGATGTTGCTGATGCTGTTGTTGCTGGTGATGATGAGCATGATGATGCTGGTGGTGATGGTAGTGTTGAGTTTGGTGATGATGCTGATGGTATCGGTGATGATGATGCTGCTGATGATGAAAAGAATGATGATACTGATGCTTATGCGGATGATTTGATGATGATGGCGGTGGTGGTGATGAAGATGCTGATGCTGCTGACGATGCTAATTGTTACTCTGATTGTGGTGATGATCGTGATTATGATGATGAGGATGATGCTGATTATGATGATGACTATGGTGGTGATGCTGATAATGCTAATGATGATGGTGATCATGATGATGATGCTGATGATGATGATGGTGAGGGTGGTGGTTGGTATGATGATGATGATGGTGCTGACGATGTCTATGATTATATTGATGATGGTGATATTGCTGATTCTTCTGATGATGACGATGGTGGTGGTGGTGGTGGTGATGATGATAACGATGATGACGCTGATAATGATGATGCTGCTGCTGATGATTAGGCTGCTGCTGATGATGCTGCTGATGATGATGATGCTGCTGCTGATGGTGACGATGATGATGATGATGATGATGATGATGATGATGATGATGATGGTGGTGTATGTGATGACCATGGTGACGATGCTGCTGCTGATGGTGATAATGATGCGGGTGATGATTACGATGGTGATGGTGATGATGATGACGATGGGAGTTATGGGTGTGATGATGCTTATGATGCTGCTGCTCATGATGCTGATGCCCGTGATCATGACGACGATGGCGAGTATGATGATACTGATGCTGTTGATGATGATGGTTGTGATGGTGATGCTAATGCTGCTGCTGATGATTATGAAGAGAATGGTGCTGCTGATCAAGATGATGCTGATGATGATGATGATGATGCTGGTGGTGGTTGTGGTGGTGCTGATGATGTTACTGCTGATGATTTTTATGATGATGATGATTATAATGACGATGGTGGTGGTGATGATGCGGCTGCTGATGATTATGATGATAACGATGATGATGATAATGATGATGATGATAATGATGATGATGCTGCTAATGATGATGGTGCTGGTGGTGGTGGCGGCAAGTAGAAGTTGATGATGATGATGATGATGATGATGATGATGATGCGGCTGCTGATGATGATGGTGATTCTGATGATGTTGATGATGATGATGGTGGTGGTCGTGGTGGTGCTGATGATATGCTTATGCTGATTCTGTTAATGATGGTGATGATGATTACGATGTTGTTGATGATGTTGATGATGATGATGATGATGATGTTGATGGTGATGATGCTGCTGATGCTGATGATGGTGGTGGTGGCGGTGGTGATGCTGCTGCCGATGGTGATGCTGATCATGATGGTTACTAGGATAAATGTGATGATGCTGAAGCTGGTGATGATGATGATGCTGCTGATGATAATGATGATGATGATGATGATGGTAGTGGTGGTGGTGATGATGGTGCTGCTGATGATAGGAATAGTGATGAGTGGTTGTGGCGATGCTGCTGCTGCTGATGATGAGTCTGATGATGAGTATGATGCCGCTTCTGATCATGCTCATGATGACAATGCTGATGCTGATGCTGCTGCTGCTGATGATGATGATGATGATCATGCTGATGCTGCTGATGATGGTGATGGTGTTGATGCTGCTGCTGCTGATGCTGATGATGGTGGTGGTGGTGGTTGTCGTGGTTGTGGTGGTGGTGGTAGTTGTGGTGGTGGTGGTGATGATGATGGCGATGTTGATGTTGCTGATGATGATGATGCTGATGATGATGATGATGATGATGATGATGAGGATGAGGATGAGGATGAGGATGATGATGATGATGATGCTGATGACGATGATGATGATGATGATGATGATGATGATGATGATGATGATGATGATGATGATGGTGATGATGATGCTGATGCTGATGCTGATGCTGCTGCTGCTGCTGATGATGATGATGATGATGATGATGATGATGGTGGTGGTGGTGGTGGTGATGATGATGATAGTCTGACCTTCGCCGTACTGATGCAGGGTCCTGAGTTGGCCCTCTTCGGTGTCTCCAGGCCGTTTTCAGGCCGTCTCGGGGGCCTCCTGGGCCGTCTTGGGGCCGTCTGGGGGCCCAGTTAGGCTGTCTTGGGGCCCTCTTGAGCCGTCTGGGACCCTCCAGGGGCCCTCTTGGAGCGTCTTGAGGCCGTCTTTGACCTCTCGTGGGCCGTCCTGGGCTCGTCTTGGGGCCCTCTTGGGCGCCCATTGGACCATCTTGGAGCGATCTCGGGGGTCTCTGCGGACGTCTAGGGCGCTCTGGAGGCCGAGAGGCCGAGTACGCGAAAATTGTACCAGAGCCCGAGGACAACTGGTAACTTTTGCCTCCCAGGGGCCTCTTTGGAGTCGTCTTCGGACCCC